CTCGCACGCTTACAGCTTAATGCACAGCAATAGCAGCAAAGATAATAGATTTTAGGTGGCAGTATATTTAAGGTACCAATGGATTTAAGGTATCGGAGCACTTAAGGTACTCATGGATTTAAGTTGGGAGTGTATTTAAATTGGCAGTGGATTGAAGGTAGCAGTGTGTTTAAGGTGGCAGTGGATTGAAGGTAGCAATAGATTTAAGGGAACAATGGATTGAAAGTATCAGTGGATTGAAGGTAGCAATAGATTTAAGGAAGCAGGAGCTTGAAAGTAGCAATGGATTTAAGGTTGCAGGAGACTTAAGATTTAAGTGGATTTTAGGAGGCACTGGATTTAAGGTAGCAATTAATTTAAGGTAGCAGTGGGTCTGAGGTACCAATGAATTTCAGGTGGTAGTGGATCTAAGGTTGCAGTGGATTTAAGATAGCAATTAATTTAAGGTGGTTGGAGATTTAAGGGGCACTGGATTTAAGGTAACAATAGATTTAATGTAGCAAATAATTTAAGGTACCAATGGATTTAAGGTGGCAGTAGATTTAAGTTAGCAGGACACTTGAAGTAGTAGGACATTTAAGGTGGCAGTGGATGTAAGGTAGCAAAGAATTGAAGCTGGCATTGGATTTAAGGTAGCAGGAGATTTTAAGTAGCAGTGAATTTAAGGTATATGTGGATTTAAGATACTGTTGGGTTGAAGGTAGCAATAGATTTAAGGTACTAGTGTTTAATAGCATAGCAAACATCTACCAACACCTTAGCAACAACCTGGGACACCATAGCAACCACCTATCAACACCTTGGAAACCATAGCAACCACTTAGCAACGTCCAAGCACCTCTCTTGCAACCATCAACAGCCTTCCACTGTTTGAACATAATTAGCTGGCTTTTTCAACCAACTTAAAGTTTGTTCACAAACTTTCCCTTCTGGTTTATTTATGTTCTTCCCCAACCACTGTAATTCTCCATATCTGTCTTATGTGCTCAAATGTTGAATGGTCTCAGTGTGTAGTTTGGCTATAGACATTCCACAGAGCAGAAAATAACCTGATTGGTCATTGCTTGGCTAAATTTCCTTCTTATTTGCATGAAGATCTCCAGATGTTCAAGAAATCCACAAGTACAGTAACAACTACCCAAGGTGTCTACACCCGATCGAGTAAGTAGAAACAAGTGGAATTTCTCCGTAATTAGCCACTTTCCTCCTTTGCTGTTTTGCCATCTCTCTCTGTCCTTGCTTTTGCTAAAAGCAGTGTGCTCATGCTACACTGACAGAGTGAATCAGAGAGACTTTGATAGCTGCAGCATTAAGTAGCTACCTTGTTTAATTCCCCCCTTTCCACTCCGCCCCTTTGAAGTAGCACTGTAGGAGATGCTTGTCAGACTCACACCACAAACTGGACCAAAATGAAGTAATTTTGCCCAAGTCCATACACATGGAGCTGATGTGCGTCAGAAGAGCAGGCCCTCTGGGTTGAACTTGTAAGGAACTGGCGGTGGGGGAGAGACTCCTTACACTGTCGCCATTTGCATCGTGTTAAATTGAGAAACACAGGCAGCGCAGACAGGCTTGAAATGTCTTCCGAATGTGTAGCACCACCAGAGGCCACAGAAACTGCACCACGGAGATATGCTAATGTGTAATGAAGGAGCAGCAGCGCGCGTGTGTAAGCTTCATATTGCGCCTGCTCATTTTTTCACATCATCTTGGCCTGCTTCTGACATCATACGAATTTTCAGAGTAATATTCACGCGCCGTATTTCATGCATGCTATCACAAATCATTACCACAAACTCCCTGGAAGTTAAAGCAGATGAACTTAATGACAGGTAATGTGACCCAAAGACAGGCAAAACAAAGAGCAGCGTGACCCGCTTGTGCCCGCGTGGCCTTTTGCTTTTCTGGCCCCTAGGTGCTAGTCATAAATTGCATCTCTTCAATTTTTTGCCCCCCCCCCGGCCATTTCCAACCTCACTAGAGAAACCTTGAATAGAGGCGCAGGCAGAAGTGCATCCAGCGAACATCTGTTCACGAATCCTCCCGAGACGGCGGAGGAGAAGGTCAGCCAATGACGAGCGCTCCACTCGGCTTATAATCGGCTGCTTTTGTGAACGATCAGAAAGTCTACAGATCTCTGTTAATGCCTCACAACAAATGAAGCAGTTGACCCTGCCATGGCAGCTTGTAAATAACGACACTAAACAGTAAGCACTTCCCTTTTCTGTAAACAAAATAGGTCATGTGATTTCTGAATGTTTCATGGGCTGAGCCACTTTTAGTGCTGATGTAGCTGTCTCTTTCCCTCTATGCACAAAATCACCTAGGAAAGTCTTGTGGTTGCAATGCTAAATTAAAACCGTTGAAAGCATGACGAACATATTGAAAAGAATCATCTTATGCTGCGATATAAAGTCGTCGTCTCTATCATCAGACTACTTAAAGGGAGTGAACGACAGCATTTCATTCACTAATAGGAATTGTACATTCCAGAACTGGGGGAATGTTCGTACATTGGAAATTAATCTAATGACACTTGCTTGAGACTACTTTTCTCAAACTAGCCAAGAATTCTTGCCTCTCTAGCAACTATGAGCCCATGCTCTGACCCTGTGGCTGTACTCTTCATCTGTGTTACAGTCCATCACTGCCATTGTTATCTCTATTCCATCTGTCCTGGTGCATCACCCCTCCCCCACATCACACTTATACTGCTTTGCTTCTCTAGTTACCCCAGTAACCGTCTCCCTCTCCAAATCTGGCTGGAACCGATGCTACAGGCTCTTCACTTGAGCTCCCTACTGCCTCAGCTTTCTCATTCTAATGGTTCACTTTATTCTTTCTGTATAAATCCTACTGCTCCTCTTTTTTTAGTTTTATTTGATACTTTATTTCCTTAGTTAATCAGGTGATACGCAAAATAGACATTTAAAACAAGAGGAGTAAATGCCTTTCATAGTCATGTTTGTCTGTCTGTCTCGCTCGCTCTGTTCCACCTTCTCCCCCCCCCACCAACGACACACACTTTTTGCTGTGCGCTGATCTGTTTGCTAACATAGAGCCACATGCCTCTTTTCCAAATCGCTTCCTAATTGCGAATGAGACGCACAGTGGAGGCGCTGTTGCAAAATGGAATGACTGCGTCTGCTAAACAGCAGCATATGAATGCGCTCTCTGCCTCTCTCTCCCCAGTACAATCACATGCAACATTCGATTTAAAGCCCCACTCTTGTGGCGATGCCTTTTAATTACTGCTCATCCTTAAACAGCAGTTCACAAAGGGGCATAGTTGTTAGGTTTGAAGTTATAGCAACATCAGTGACTTGGCAAATGCAACTCGTTTTTTTTTGTTTTGTTTTTTTTGTTTTTGTGGTTTTTGTTTTGTTTTTTTTTGTTTTTTTTTTTGTCTCCCCCCTCACCTTTTAGTGCCCCCCCCCTTTATGGCTGCAATCTGTGCTGATGCCAGTTATGCACACTTTTGCCTGTTGGTGTTATATTGTAGCGAGGCACTCTACCTCGAAAAATGCTCACTTTCTGAAGGCAGACTGTGACTCATAGACTCCTACAGAAAAAGGGAGACATTTGACTTGATCTGGCTTGAGCTCTGCCTAAGTGACCATCACAGGCCCTTGTCGCACCGCAGAATCATGCGTTTTTTTTTTTTTTGACCTCAGTGCTTGTGTAGAGTGCTTTTCCTGTATATGTCTGTGGGTATATTTGTTCTGACTTATCAGCTTATGCTTGTATTCATTTGTAATGCCCCATTTGTGTGCGTATGGTTAGTACACTTGTCGGTAGACAGAATAGACAAGTTGCAGTTAATCTACTCCTTTAACCTTTTGATATCCTCAATCCATACCACAAAAAGAAAAGAGGTTTCTGGAGATAATTAAAGAGAGAGAGAGAGGTGCTTTTAAGTTTTGTCACCCTTCCATCATCGGAGTGGGCAGTGAGGGTGGGGAGTAGCTACAGTGTGTATAAGTGGGCCGTGGAAGGCCCTGCAGCCAGGCTCAGCTCGTGACATGGTACAAGGCCACACTATGGCTGGATGTCCCAGCTTTATGTGAAGGCTGTGCATGTGCGCCGTGTGCCGGATCAATTATCATTTAATCAGCCTTTAATCTCTCAGACAGCCTGTGCCCACTCAGCCAATATGCCTCTTGACACAAACATGCATTACATTTTATTATCCTCTAATACGCTGTCATTTTGTCGACTGTTTTGTCTTTCTCTTTCCTTGCATTTCAATTAGTCATGTCTTAGGATTGGTGCTGATATGCTTAACTATAACGGTCTCTCAACTCCTTTCCAAAAAAGGAAAAAAAAGCTGACATTTTGCTGAAAAGCAAAGGTCTCTACATCCCATGTTGCAGTCTGAGACCCAAACGAGCCTGTATGTCCCAGTGCTCTGCTTTTCACAGTATAGCCTGCTCTTAAAACAGCAGAATGATTTATTGCCCATCTGTCTAATACATGATATAGTATCTTTGTATCTGCATGACCTGGAAGAAATACCTAGAATTTGGGAATACAATGAAAAGAGAACTCCCAAGACATAATTATGAAGAGCCCATAAAGTTTTGACGTGTGGTCTATTTTCCAGTCTGTAACGGTCCACTCTCAGTGTTAAACAAGCTTACACCCCCATTTGTTTTCTTAAAGCAAAATGCAGTCATCTCTCCTCTTTTTCTTTTTTTTCCACCCAAAACTCAGTTCAAAGCACCTCAGACAAACTCTGAGGACTTTTGTATTTATACTCTTAAGATCTTTTTGTGTCATCTTTGCCCTTGGGAAAGTAGCACTATTCAGCAACTCTCCTGCCAGCTGTTTACCTGCAACTGACGCATTTTTAGAGCTTGGAAAGAATCACATCATGTTTTAAACATCCTGGAAGGTAAAAATAGCAGATTGGTGATAATTACGTAAGCTGAGTGTAAGTTGTTAGATGGTGATGCTGTGGAGCATACGTAATACAAAGTGCATAAGTCTTCTCTGAAGGAGCTCATTAGGCTTAAGCATCATCCAGCAGTTTCAGGGTTAAAGTCTAACTGCAGAGTCCTACTGCAGTGGTTGAACCCTTTGCCTGATCGCTACAGTACACCAGGAGAGAGTGAGATAGAGAAAGAGAGAGAAAAATATCTCTACTGTGTTTTTTTTTTTCTTCCAAAAATCCTCTTTTTTTATTGCATTTATAACATTTGGCACAGTACAAATTCATGGTGCTTACAAGATAAATCTGTAAAGATCAACATGGACCTTTTTTTTCTTAAAGAAAGACTTCTCAGTATAAATGTTTATTTTCTTTTCACTGCATTCTCTGTAGCATGGTTTAGAAATCACACAGAATGCCCTTTTGAAAACAACACTACCCTCATTTCTTAAAGTCAGGACAGCATCTTTAAACAACTCATTTTTTAAATAGAAGTTACAAGTTAGAAAATAGTTTAATTTATTTTTTAATATAATCTGCTTCTCTATGATAGTTTTTGATTTTTTTTCCCATATATTTATAAGCATGTACAACAAGAAATCAGTCTCTAGGTTTTTCACGCTGTACAAAAAACAGTCTCTTTTTTCTCTTTGTGCATTCTATTGCATGTTTTCATGGGGGTGTCTTGGGAGTGTTTGAGAGGAAATAGGGAGATGATTTTTCAGGCCATGAATTGGCTATGATTTTTTCTTTTTGGGGGTGGGGGTTGTCGAGGGCTAGATTTGAGTCTCTTGTACTTTCTCCTTCGCATGTGTTTTTATAACGAAGGGCTCTGAGATAGTGGTGATGGTACTGGGCAGGGTTCGAGGAAGAGAGTTTCCGATGCTGTTGGTTTCTGTCCATTTAGCTCCGTGTCCTCCAGGCTTGTAGGTGTTATACTTGGGCTTCAGAGTGCTATAGTCGAGCTTATGGGGGCTGTAGTCCTCTTTGTGAGGACTGTAATCCACTTTAGGCTTGTGGGGGCTGTAGTCTGGTTTGTGGCTGATGTATTCTGCTTTGAGTGGGCTGTAGTCTGCCTTAAATGCACTGTAGTCCGGTTTGAAGGGACTGCAATCCATCTTGAAGGGGCTGTAGTTGGTAGCAGCTTTGTGGGGAGTGTAATCGGTTTTGGGTTTGTGCATGCTGTAGTCTGTTTTGGGTTTGTGAATGCTGTAATCTAGTTTGAAAGGGCTGAAGTCTGGTTTGACTGTTTGAGATTTGTAGTCTGGCTTGTGAGTGCTATATCCAGGTTTGTATGGACTCTGGTCAGGTTTTTTATGTATGTGATAATCTGGCAATGATCTGTGAGTGTAGTCTGAGGATGGTTTGTGAGGGCTGTAGTCCATTGTTGGTTTGTAAGTGTTGTAATCAGATTTTGGTTTGTGTGTAATGTAGTCTGTCTTGGGAATCTGGATACTGTAGTCCGATTTCGGTTTGTAAGTGCTAAAGTCAGGTTTGGGTTTGTGGATACTATAATCTGACTTGGGTTTATGGGTGCTATAATCTGTTTTGGGTTTGTGGTAGCTGTAGTCTGATTTGTGGTTTATGTAATCCAACTTGTGAATGCTATTATGGTCCCTTATCTCTGGTAGTGTTAGTGCTCCCTCCCCTGGTATACTGGCAGCAGAGGCAGGTGGAGGCAGGTCCTCCTCATCCACTTGAATAATCTCTACAGTTCTGGCTGCAGCCACTGTGCTCCTTTGTTGATGCCGCTTCCGCAGTTTATAAAACACGATTAGCATGACTGCTGCTAGCAGTGTCACCGCAACGAAACAGCCAATGATGATCTTTGTTGTCTTCATCACCTCATCCAGGCTGGTGCTGGCAGGGTTGGGTGGCTTCCCTGTTGTCGCTTTAGAAGCTGGCACGGCTGACGGCCGACTTGGTGGTAGTTCGGTGCTCTGAAGAAGGACTGTTGGTGTTGAGATGAAAACTGGTTGAAAGACTGATGGAGAAGCTGTTGTTGTTGTACTTGCACCTGCTGTGGTTGTTGTGGTCTTGGTTTTTGGCAGCTCAGATGTTGGACCCAGCACCTCCACTGTGACCGTGGTAAAGTAGCTGAGGTTGGATGTGTTCAGCTCAGCTGCGCTCACATTTAGATAAGCCGAAGCATTGGATTTTCCTGCTGCGTTGGACACCATGCAAGTGTACATGCCCGTGTCACCCACCAGAACGTTTGAAAAGTTTAGAGTTCCGTCATTGAGCACGGTTATACGTGGGTGGCTGGACGCATGTGTCAGTATAGTGCCATTGGGCAGAAGCCACCGCACTGATGACATGGCTGCTGTTCGACATCGAAGTTCTGCTACCCGCTCTGCTGAGATATTGAGGTCTCTTGGGGCATCAGCGATGAAAGGAGCAGAACACTGCATTGCACCAGTGTCACCCCGGTCCACCTCCACCAGCTGACGTCCTCGCATATGTGCAGGAGAGTGACATCTGCCACAGCAGGTTGAGTTGGTGGGTATGTAATCACGCAGCCACCGTGCTAGCCACAGCGAGTCACAGCCACAGTTCCAAGGGTTATGGTGGAGGTGTAGTTCCACCAGATACTTCAGTGGGGCAAACAGGTCATGGGGCAGAGAGCTCAGGTTATTGTGGGCTAGGTTTAGCTCCACAAGTGACGTCAGGTCATCGAATGCATTGCGTTCAATTAGCCCTATTTTGGAGTTCATGATCCATAACTTTTTGAGTGAAGTCAGTCCTTTGAAGGAGCTGGGCTTGATCTCAGGGAAGAAGTTCTCTGAGATCTCCAGCTCCTCCAACGCTAGCAGCGGGTTCAGGTTGGGCATCTCTCCGCGGATGTTGCACATGCCTAAGTTGAGGTACTTGAGGTTGACAAGACCCTCAAACGCCCCATCAGAGATGTACTCGAGCTTTCGCAGCTCACCTAGGTCCAGTCGCATGAGAGAGGGCACTCGGTTGAAGGCATAAGAAGGGATGCTCTCAATGGGGTTGTTTCTGAGCCACAGCTCTCGCAGCTTTGACAGATACTCAAAGGCGCCACTAGGCACCACAGTCAGCCGGTTATCAAAGAGCTCCAGGGTATTCAGGCTCGTAAGGCCATTGAAGGCCCCCACCTCTATTTGTCTGATGGCGTTGCGCCCGAGCTGCAGCACCTCAAGGTGGTGAAGATGGCGGAAAGAGTCAGCCTGTACTGCTTCTATGGAGTTCTCCATCAGATTGAGGTGCCTGGTGTTGGTGGGAATGCCAGGGGGCACGCGGGTGAGTCCACGGCGGGTGCACACCACCTTGCTGAGCTGGTTACTGCAGGAGCAGACGGGCGGGCAGCCTTGGGGCCCCGCCGCTCCCGCCGCCACCTCCACGGACACTTGCACCATGAGGAAGACGACACAGAGCAGGGCGGCTTTCCTGGCTCGACGCACAGCTACCCGCCCCAGGAGACTCATGATGTGGCACGTTCATAATTCAGCATCGTCTGGGGGGCGGGGGAAGGGATTGGGGAGGCTTGGGGTGATGGTGAGGAGATGGAAAGGGGGTTGAGGGGAGGGGTTCCTTTCTGGTTAAAGGTGAGCTGGCCCTACCCTGGGTTAAGCAACACTCTAACTTGCTTTTCCATTTACTGAACTAGAGGGGCCATTTTCAGTGACAAAGTATGAAAGTACAGGGGAAAGGGAGAAAAAAAAGCTAAGGAGTAATGAATAGAAGAAAAGCGTAGACTTTTTTATATGAAAAGGGTTGGAAACACCAGACACCTACCTCGGTAGATTTACAGGTCCGTTTTTTTGCAATCACAACATAGGCGCTGCTTTTCCCCCCTTTTTTTTCTTTTCTTTTAAAGATTCATATATCCCAGAGAAAAGGAAAGCCTTTTGGTTTTTGTATTTGTTGTAGAAAGCAAGAGAGAAATGCCAAAATGGCCCCTAATAAATCCACAGAAGAGCATCCAAAGGAAAGCAGTAGAGCTGCAGGCCCATAGAGCTTTAGGCAGTGGTAGCATTCCAGTTTCGCTCCCAGAGACGTGCTCCCTCGCTCGCCGTCGCCTCATTCGCAGATACTTGTCCTTGGAAACTGCTGCTTGACGCCACCGCTAAATACCTTCCTCCAGTCTCCGTAGTAGAATGCCTGCATACGCTAAACCAAGGCAGAAGGGGTGAAAAAGGAGGAGGGGGTTGGTGGGGGGTGGTGTGGGTTATAAGAAGAAGAATGAGAATTCCAGTCTTTTCAAATGCGCTCTTCTCTTTTTGTTTAAAAGAAGGAAAACAGACCCCTTCCCCCCCAGTCTGTTCCACTCACTTTTTGTAGTCGCTGTCCTCGTCCGCTTGATTTGCCTGTGCCGCGGCAGTTAAAAAAGCTGTGTGACACACACTGCAGTCATTGGGTTATTTCTTGGTTTAACTAGTTCCGCACTCCAGCTCGACAGATGCACAAACGGTGGTGGCTGCAGCCTGCCTCCCGCACTCTTCACAGTAATCCGTCAATTTCTTCTGAAAGGGAGGTCAGTGAGTGTCAGAGGGAAGAGATACTGGTGCCAGCAGGACCCCAATACAGCTTGTTCAGCGGAGAAAGCTCTCTCCTGCTTTCGAGCACACTCTCCCGCTCCCTGGAATGAGAGAAAGAGGGAGAGGGAGAGAGAAAGAGAGAGCACGCTTCTCCTCCCCTCCTGTGACGTAGTGTCGATCTGAAAAGTATCCGTATAGCGCGGAGCTGGAGCCCCTGCAGTGTCCTAAGCTGAGAGAGGCGTCAGAGAGCTCAGTCCCACAGCCGCTGGCTCGAACTGCCGGATGAGCATTGGGAGGGAGAAGTGCGTCCCCACGGCAACAGCATTCTCTCTTGCTCCCTCTTTTTTCCTTCCTTTTTTCCCCTTTTCTTTTTAACCTCGTTGGTCCTGCCTTAATCCTGCTTCCGTTGCTGTGTACGGCGGCAGCTCCCGATGATTTTTTTCCAGCATGTTTCGCTGAGCTGTAGAAAGCAGGCAGCTGGGACATAAGCTCATGCGCTCACTCTCCCTTTTGTCCTTCAGTAGAAACGTGAATGTACTGCTGACGCATCGTGCTCCAAGCAGTGCATTGGTTTGATGCAGTGTTTTTGTGCATTAACTCATCCGCCCACTCTCTCACATGCACACACGCGCACTCTCGCGCACTGTCTTCACTCGCTCATGCTGTCTCTCTCCCTCTCTCTTTCCCTCTCTCTCTCGCTTGCTCGCTCACTCTCTCATTTGCTCTGTCTCACTTAGATACACAGTGCTCCTTTTCTCACTCTAGCTCCCCCTCTCTTCTTTCACTGGTCTGCTCTTTTGCTTTCGTTTACCTGGTTTGCTCTTTTACTTCATCTTTTCAGTAATCTTTACTTTTGTTTTCTCTCACTCTGTCCTTTCTGTTTTATTCTTTTTCATTCCATTTCTGGCCTCTTGGGCTTAATGTAAGTGATGTTACTAACTGTTGCTGATTGGCTCTATAAAAGCTTTTGTCCTGGTGGCTTTGGGAGTGCAAGGCACTATTTTGAGGGTGCAGATAGCTAGAGGATGGAGTGCTGCGAGAGGGAGTGGTTTGCTCTAGTTTTTAAAGATAAACACGTTCCAACTAATGAATGAGTACACACCATTCTCCTCACTTCCAGCAGAAACGTGCTACACCATTCTGTCTCACCATCTCCTGCACCGCCCTCCCGTTTATTTTGGAAAGGCAACAGGCAGAGTGATGGTGTTTAGTCACCCAGGGTTTGTAACACTACTGGCTGAGTTGAGCGAGTGTGTGTGAATGTGTTGGCCTGGTCAGTGCATGGTCCAAGAGGGGGCTCAGTAGGGATTGGACAGTACTGTGTGTGGGTCATCACTCACTTGAGGCGGATTAAGCCACTTTTGGATGCAGCCGAGGGAGTCACTTGGGTGCACAGAGCTAGGCAGGATTTGGGCTGGACCGTGGAATCTCGCTGTCTTACTCTCGTTCTTTCACTCTTGGTCTCATTCTGCTTTTCCACTTTCTTCTCTCTTGTGTCTCCTCACTTCCAGGATTAAAATATCTCTTCTGTCTTGCTGTAGTGGTTCTGACAGTGCTGGAACAGAGAGCAGACAGAACATCATATATAGCTTGGTAGATCCTGACCACACAAATCTATAGCCATAGTAGGTGAAATGGTTTAAAACTTACACCAAGACAGACTAAGATAAACAGACAAATGCTAACCTTGCGGATCCAAGCTAACATTATTAGCCTAGTCACGTTGTAACTAATTTGCTGTTTACTTTTTTTGTGAAAACAGCAAGAGGTAAAGAGCTCTTTCAAAATATCAGTTCACTAAATGATGGAAGTTTTATTACAAATCTGTGTAAGTACAATGTAGAATGAGCCTGAGCTTGATGTTCATCACGCTTCTGTTACTCGTCCTATCTGCGATTCCACATCGGGTAGTGCTTCTTGCTTGGTGTTCAATATCCTTTAAATATTTCCCTTTTTGGACTAAACACCCTCCATAAATACATGTGCATTTCATGTGTTTGTGTATGACACACACATCTATGCGGGACGTTTTATGCTACCATCGACATTTCTCAGTCACCACATGGGCTGCACCAAGCTCCAGCTGTAATGCTGATCCAAGGGCAGCAGCGTGACTCAAAATGCCTTGCTCATGCTGGGGGTGTCCATCCTTCTCACAACCTTCTGGAAAAGGTCTGAAGAGGGAAGCAAAGCTCCAGTCTTCTAGCCTACCTCACCCTGGGCAAGTAAGCATGTGGAAGAGGCCTGCTTGGAACTGGGCTTCCAGGCCGACCCAGTTTGACGTGGAAGGGCTCGTCGATTAGTCCAGGGTGGGGGAGGCAGTGCAGGAGCCCCAGGGTGTGCCACTAAATCTGGGCTGGGGCCAGCTGCATGTAGGTCAGCCTCCCACCCAGCTCCAGCCTACTGAAGAGTACCAGTACTGTCCAATAAATGCACTCTGAGCTTTACTCTTGGGGCACTGCAGTCTGGACTGTACGCTTAAAGCCGATCCATAACATTGAACTCCATGTGCATTAGTCCCAGCCCCATAGCTCACGACACTGCCATTCCATGCTATGATGGAATAAATTTGTTGAAGGCGAAAGAATGATAAATCCACAGTCTCTCATTATACCTTGTAATAAAATGCTATTGGTGTGCCATCACTGTTCTCCATTTCTCCAGCCGAAACTGAGCAAAAGCACATGAAAAACCTTTTGTGATCTGCTTGTTCTGTTAAAAGTCACTTTGGTGTAAAACGCATATGTAAGTGTGACATTTTGTAAGACAAACACCTCATAAATAAACTTACATCAATTCCAGCAGTATCATGATCAGTATCTACACTGGTACAAAGTGCGTGAAGTTGGTAGTCTGATATAGGGATTGCCATTTTGAGTCATTTTGTGGCTGTAGACTCAGACTCAGTTACTCCAAAATAAGCAGTCTGACTACATAAAAATTATTTATTCATGTAAAGTTTTCAACAGAAACAAATTTTCAACATTTTCCTTTTTTTATTTTCTTTATTTTAAAATACTAATAGCCTCTGCTGAATCTATAGATTCAGGTGTTTCTAGGATTCAGTAGAGATACGTATAGAGATTTGTATGTGCTTGGTCAGAGGTGCAACCCTAATTAGATTGTGAATTTTATTTACCTGTTTTTTTAAGTCAGCTATGTGGTTACATAATGAGTGCACCTATTCTTAGTTTGGTGGTGCTTTTGATTCAGTGCATACTGGTCCAAAGCAGAATCTCAAATCCCAAAACCTGTTCTGACTATATGAAACATGGCACAGAACTTGGTGCATTATTTCAGTTGAGGGAGAATTGTTCTGCTCTGTCATGATGCATTTTGCTAGTCACCACAGTTTTGTCCACTGCACAGCTCCACTGAAATAGCGCACTTGTCTGGGTGCCCGGCATGTGCGTGTCAGATTTAAAGCACAGACTGACAGTAGTATTGGCCTGATTATGCACTCAAAGAGCAAATGAGACATATAACTTTTCTGTGAATCACCTACAGCAAGGCAAATGCTTTTTATGCTAATGCAGTTTTCTCTTATGTGCAAAAGGTTCACATATGTAACAGTGTAATATGAAATATGATACAAAAATAGTTAGCAAACATACAGATCCTGTAAGTGTTACTGTTTGGACATATGCTGTGCTACTTTGTTCATAGTTTCGTGTCTGCTCTTTCTTCATTAATTGATACGCTTCCCACACAGATACATACCCATGCATCCTTGCTGCCGACTCCAGGCTGCTTCGTTATTACTTTCTCTCAGGCATTGAATCTATCAAATGTTGTGAGCCTGAAAGCTCTGTCATTTCAGCAAACACTTGTGACCTTGAGTGGGCTGGGGGAACGGACACTTCCGTTCCATTTAATTTCAGTTTCCAGGAATTAATTCCATGGGAGATTACTGCACCGGGCAGCACCGTCCCACCCCCTTACGTGGGATTTACCTCTTATCATTATTCACATCGTATGCTCCCAACAAAGATTGAGCAATAAGCACACTATGGGATTTACAGTTTTAAAACTGCCTCCGGGCCTCTGCCTCTGGCCCACACTGTCTTAGATTCTCTATTTTACTCTATTTCACAGTCATGTCTTTATTCCATTTTTTACTAGGAATGTCGCAGTCCAGTTTTCACCTTCCTGTCCAAACTAATGAGTGTTTTTGTAATGCTGCCACACAGTGCACACTTGAAGTAGAATTACTTTCCTAAATCCAGACCTATTTGGGTAAGATATGGCAGTCTGCTAATTACTTTAAAATTATTGTGTGCCTTCTCCTGCAATCTCATTTTCAAAAAAGTTTTGCTGTGCAAAATGTAAATAAAAGCAGAATACAATGGTGTGCAAATCAGTTAAATGCTATATTTAATTGAAAATAGTAAAAAGCATATCAAATGTTGAAATATTTCCCCATTTTGAGTTTGTTGCCTGTAACATGTTTTAAATTAGTTGGGACAGGGGCATGTTTACCACTGTTATCCATTCTTGCTTGAAAAAGGATTTCAGCAGCTCAACAGTTCGGGGTCTCCTTTGTCCTATTTTTCGTTTCATAATACACTAGACGTTTTCAGTGGGTGACAGATCTGGTCTGTAGGCAGACCAGTTTAGCACCCGGACTCTTTTACTATGGAGCCATGCTGTTGTAACGTGCAGAATGTGTTTTGGCATTGTCTTGCTGAAATAAGCAAGGCCTTCCCTGAAAAAGTCGTAGTCTGAATGGCAGCATAGGTTGCTTCAAAACCTGTATATTTATCGTTCAGCATTAATGTTGCCTTCACAGTCTTAGTCACCCATACCATGTGCACACATGTACTCCTATACCATCATGGATGCAGGCCTTTGAACTGTGCGCTCATAGCAAGCCGAATGGTTCCTCTCCTCTTTAGCCCAGAGGACACAATCCATGATTTCTAAAAAGAATTAAACATTTCTATTAGTCAGACCACAATGAGCTAGGGCCCAAAGACGTTTCTCGACCCTGTTTATATTCTTCTTTGCATGATGGAGTTTTAACTTGCACCTGTGGATGCAGCGATGAACTGTGTTCACAGACAATAGTTTTCAGAAGTGTTTCTGAGCCCATGCAGTCATTTCCACTACAGAATCGTTGCTGTTTTTAATGCAGCGACACCTGAGGGCCTGAAGATCACGTCCGGTCGGTATTGGTTTTCAGCCTTGTCCCTTGCATACAGAGAATTCAGTGATATTATGTACTGTACATGATGAAATCCCCAAGTCGTTTGCTATTTTACGTTTAGAAAAATTCTTGAATTGTAGCACTATTTGCCCTTGTAGTTTTTGACAAAGTGGTGAA